CTTAAGACTTACAACAAACGCACAGCAAATGGAGGTCACTGCTTTGAATCCCATGGAGTCTTACAAGCCTCATTCTAACCGACCAAACAAACACACCTACAATTTACACTAAGAGATACATGCTTTTTCAACCCAGATCACTGGAGTTAATGAACTGTAGTCTTGAAGTCATTGTATACTACTGTCACTTTAACTGCACTGCTAAATTGTGTGTATAGAGTAGTAATTTTAAGAAACGTAAGGAAGAATATTGTATAGAATATTGGAAGAGTATGCATGGTTGTTCCACATTTTTTCTTGTACAACTTGTTTGCACTTCAGGCCAAAGCAAATTCCTAGTCTGGGACTTTGTTGCTTACGATGGCAATAAAAATAATTCTGATTCTAATTCATTCTTTTAGAAAACATGTTACAAGTGAGATACCATTGCCTGATACTAGCGCATTGACATTGTTGGTTTAAGTTGTCTCTTTTTAAACTATTCTAATGTCTAATGTGTTTTTTTCTATTTCTGTCTGTCTTTGTAATGTATATGGCCCATTGTGTGTTCGAAATACAGCCTAATAATATTGTAGAAACATTTCTATTATAAATTAAACATAATTTTAAAAGCTCACCTTGATTACGTCCAGCGCTATCCCACCTACCACTCATTCAGAGAAAGCAGACGTCTAAAAACTGTACGCATTACACGACTCAAAAGCCTGTTAATTGGGAACAATGATTGCACAAAGCCTATAGCATATTTTTATTATGATGTAAATTTGACAAGCCTTCATTTGTGTGATTTTGGCTGTTTGATTTGCATGGTGTCAGATGTCTTTTTATTGCACACCACTTGAAAAAGCCTGCTTGTCTAAACAACACTCTTTCCTTATTACAGCACTGTTACTGCTGGGAGCTGCCTCACAGTCCTCTGAGCTATTCAGCAGATGGCTCCAAATTGCGTTAAAGTAATAAAGGCAAAGGTGTTTCTTTTAAACTAATTTTTCAAGATGTTCAAGTCGTTTCTAGTAAATATATTGTGACATGCACAGATGATTATATGAAGACTGTGTCATGAGAATGGAGAAGATTGGAAATGTGAGAGCTGGAAATGTCACAAAACTGAGTTGACTGTTTTTGCCTAGTTTTGTCATTTAGCGTAGGAGCGTCTGAGGATTCCCCCGGAAGTGAGCGTGGTTAGGAAAGTCTCGACATCTCTGCTCAGACCTCTCAGCATAGTAAGAGGAAGGTGATCAGCACATTGGCTAAGGCCAGTCCCTCTCAAATAGTGACCCTAACTTTTTGTTTTTTGCTGCACATACTTTATCAAGATTCCACATCCTCCGTTGCCGCATTGTTCTGACCCCAGGAGCAAATGCGGCCACTTTGTAGTGAATGACAATGGTTCCCGCCTCCAGCGCACAACCGTAGCGCAACCAGTGCACGTGTTAAATACGGTGCTGCAAGAAACACAGCTGGATTATGGGAGCCTCATGAAGTGTCCATGTCTCCCCTTTGTGTTCTACTGAAGCACAACTAAAGTTAAAGCCGGGGTACCTACATGTTGGTTGTGCCCAAAAAGTAAAATGCAGACACAGCTCAATCAGCTGTTGATCTCCAGAGCTAGTAACGTATCACACATTCCTGCTTCACGGTGTGTTTATGTGAATAGCAGAGATCAGACACACAGACCTACAGGAAAGTGCTTTGATCCACATGAGTCCACAGTGCATTGAAACACTGTGTCAAAAAGTTATCTATTGTCTTTGTTTTAATTGGCAGCTGATTAAGTGTTACATTACAACCTGAAAACCTGAAAATTATGTTCAGGTGCAGCCTAAATGTGAACAAAAATACTTTTCTCTGAACATGTAGCTGATGCAGTTTATATAAAGGTGTGCTTAATAGTCCAGCAAGCACTGTATATTTTCTAATGTTTATATACTACAAACAAGAGCTGCTTAGAGTTTATTTTGTCCTCAAGTCTGGAAGACATAAAAACAATACACACACATACAAATCTGTTCTACAAACAATTGACTGCAGTGTGTAATGGTTACATTATACTGTTATCCATGAACCTTATTTCTATGAATAAATGTAACTAGAACATGTGTAATTATTTTTAAAATTCAGAATATAATGAAAAACTACACGTCTTTGATGTGAGTTACAAAGTTTTAATAACTGAATGTCTGTCCGGCTGAACTGTACCAAGGGCATGTCCCAGCTTTGATTTGCAAATGATCTTTGTGATAAATTTCCTGATCTAAAGCCATCAGCAACAAAAGGGCACCACAAAAGGTAAATTAACCTTGTAAGGCAATCTGGGGCTTGCATGTTTATAGTATAGAGCTGATCATCAAATTAGGTTTTATTCCTGCTATTACGGCTAACTACACGGGTGGTAATAAATTGTGAGTCAGAGTGAAATAATTATCTCTGAGAGTGTGCTTCACTGCAGTAAAAGCTGCATGCAGTTTATCAACATAGCAGCATGAGATGTGTGTGCAATTCTTTATACCTAAGCTAATTGAGGTAATGCATGTATAAGTCCCGCGTCGGCATCCACACAGTCGAATAGAGTAGCTCACATTGGGTTAATATGCAAGGCTCATTTGATCACGGCTTATGTACCATGTTAGTCAATGCATTACTCAGAGCTCCCCGGCGGACACTCACACAGGCAGTGGCTGTTGAATATTTATGGTGCGCGACGTTACTTATCATTATAAATATTTATTGTGATTTACTCTTTTGTCTGGGTCCTTCTCTGTCTTTGTACCCGGGAGAAGCAGCTTGTATCGCCGCCATCGCTCTGGTCGGCTCTCCTGGGCTCTGCTGCATTTGCCTTCTGATTATTCCTTATTTATTTAATGCCCTTGGTTATTGTTTTTTGCACCTCCTCTGTTTTAACATTAGATTGGTAATGGTTTTCGACTGTTCATATTGATTTCCGCCATATACTCATGTGTGCCTCGATGCCTACACTTACCATATGCTTTCTTTGTGTACATTGAGAAAGATCTGCTACATATATTGGCTAGTGTTGAGCTGCTATGGGGTTTGGGACACTTTGCGGGACTTTTCATGTTTCATTTTTATTGGGACTTGGTTAGGATTAACAAGACGTTCACATTTGTCAGACTGGTTCACTTTACCGGACCATTTCTGGGTCACTTGTGTACATTTTTGTCTCAAAAGTGTTTCAAAAGAAGCAACATCAACATTATTACAACATTGTTCCTCATCTAGACCTGGAGTTGTTTTTAGATCCATCCACGCTAATATTGGGAACTTCTGGCACAAACAATGAAATTCCGTCCCTTCTGCCTAAATGCTCCAGTCTTTCCTGTATATGCTAAGTGTTCATAAATTAGTTTGGCAATTTTTCAAGTGAAATGGCATTATTTGCAATCAAATGGCAGTCGTTACAGCTGGTAATTTTCAAGCAAACAAAACTAAACACCTTCTACGACTCCCTTTGGTGGCCTTATAGTAATAGGGCAGGCCAATAGAGAGTGAAGATATTCTTCCACATACTAAAACATGACATGACAAAGTGTCCTGTGTCACAAGGAGGTTTTATAGCCACAAATAAAGCATTTTTGAACCAGGAGTTTTGACCCCACGGTTTTACGATGAAACCAATTGAACTATACTACTATACTAATGTTAGAAGATCATGAATGTGTGTCAGATTCCTTTTAGTGGTAGTTGTTAATATTGCTTTATACTGTACAAATATAAAAAAACGAATAAATAAGGACACTAATCCCATAAAAGTGAACAAATATTGTAACAATATTGCTCAGAGAGGTTAAAAACCATAGAAAACCAGCAACAAAAAACATTTATTCTTCATTCAAAATTGCTAAGATTTACCCCATTTTAAATGAGTCAAATGTACAATCAGCGAGCAAATCATGTGGATAATTACAACAAACGGTAAAGAGGCTCAACAGATCATTTACATACCACACTCTCTGCATGAGTGTCCAGTTCAGACGGTGGACACATCTCTTTAGCAGTGCATTCACTCGTAAAGTCAGCCTGATGGATTCAAACGTGGGTCGCTCAGTCCGGCAGAGGGCCAACAGCAGACAGACTTATTGAGAATTAGACCGACCCGCAATCTCCATTTCATGAGCAGCAAGTCCATAAACACTATTGATTTCCACACTGTGCTTTTGCCCCGTATATCCACTGAACTGTGCGGTGGGCTGTAGCTAACGCCAGTAATGAATAATAATGCAAAAAGAGGGCCAAAGCCATTTCCCCTCAATCAGGTTAAAGTACTCGTCTCGGCTCAGGACAGACAGAGAGGTACAGTCTACAGAGAAAAGGCCACGAGACTATTCAATGAAACAACCTGCTCTCTTTTGTGTAAGGACAGAAGCTTTGTTGAATGGTATATAGAACTATGATAATTATGATGAAACAGCAAAATTTAAGTTTAAAATTGGTACGTTTCAGTCCTGTTCTGAGTTCTTCTGAGACAGCACTCATCGGCTCAAGAAAGCAAAATCAACGGCTATTTTTCTTTGCCAGTTCAAAGACGTAGACCGGACCTCCTTCTACAGTATACCTCAATCATGCAAAGCATAAGCACTCTCTCAACAACTGGTTCTTGTTAATAGAACCTCAAACTAATTACACAGACTAACTAATAGACTTTATTGTAGTCTGTTTGGAACAACACAGTAGAGATGTGAGCAGTCAAAAACTTGTATCGGATGCAAATTCCATACATTTTTTGTGTGTGTGGCCATTAATATAGATTCCGATTCTGGACCTTCCTTTCACACTCACCAGTTTATGTGTAAGTGCTTTGCAGAAATACACAACGAGTACGTACAAGAATAAACATGCCACAAAAAATGGACATTCAAAGTCACCCAGAAGTCAGTCAGTCATGTTAGGGACTAATTATCTTGCCATGTGTCCTAAAATACATTCTCTTTTAGACTAATTTGAGCCACATTTTCACACCAAACTGCACATCAGGAACTCACCTGTATCCGCAGCAGCGAGGTGCCGACTGGAGTGTTTTCTGGGAGGCTGATGTTGTACAGGGGGCTGCTGAAGATTGGCCGGTTGTCGTTCTCGTTGACCAGATCGATGAAAATTCGAGCAAAACCCACATGGTCTGACAACGACTCATTGGCAAAGAGCTGTGAAAGGTTTGAAATAATTACTGTGTTATTGAGAAAGACATTGCAAGTCAGATAATGGATGACTGATCTACTAAGGCCAAAGCTTTCATCTAGCCATAACTTTAAAACCAGTAGAGGTAATGGCAAGACAAGGGAAGGCAAGGCAAGCACAATTCAAACACAAGGCAACTCAAAGTGATGAACAAAACAAGATAGAAACAATCACACAAGGCATTAAAATAATAAATAATCAGAGTACATTAAAAAGAGTAAAGATAATGTTAGTTGTATAAACAACTAAACAGAACTGTATTTAACCTGGATTTACACAAGCCTGTCTTACATTTTTAGGAAGTTCCATATTCTAGATGCATAAATCTGAAAGGCTGCCCCCCATGTTTATTCTTGACTCTGGGCACCAGCAGGAGGCAAGTCCCTGTGCTCCTCAGAGTCTGACTTGTTCAATATGGCACTAACCTAAAGTCAATTCTCTGAGGCACAAGAAGCCAGTGCAGAGACCTGAGGACTGGATTAATGTGATTATACTTCCTGGTTCAGGTCGGAACATGAGCTGCAGCGTTTTGAATAACATGGGTAAACATTACATTAAGGCACAACAATGCACAGTGCTCAAATGGGAGAGCTCTGCAGCTTATACATTCAATGCTGTTATATCCTCATTGTACATTCAAGGAATTAGCCAAAGAATCTCAACATACACATTTCTGAGTTAGCTCTTTGTTAGTTCCTATTACACCAGACTTTCCACTAAATGACCGAGAGGTAAAATGAGGAGACAGAACACCAATTTCCCTGAACACACATCTGGGGCTAGAACAAGTGATATAGCCTCAGTCCAGTTCAGCCGTCTGTCCAAACAAATAAAACAAGCTACAAGAACAACATAATGAGCTACTTTGAGTTTGGAAGCCACAAATAAGTACTTGCCAGAGGTTACTGAATGTGGCACTATCGGTCTGTGTTTGCTGTAATGGCTAAAACTATAAGAGAGTGCATATACAATAGCACTGCAAACTCCGTATTTACAATAGGGTTACATACAGCTGCAGTTAAACTCATGATGGTACTGCCTTATTCAGACAGGACACAAGAGGAAAAATCATGTACTGTATATTTACAAATGCACTTGGCTATTTATGCAGAAATGATTATATCTAAATGCTAAAACTGAGGTTGCCAACATTGATCAACCATATATAATATTATCTGTCTGTTCCATTGTGTGAAAAAATCTGACGAAAACATGCTGCTTTCATTTTCTTTAGAAAAGATCTCTCATCTTTGTGCCCTGTGAGTCACTATTTGATGCTTTGGGCTGAGAACTGATTGGATGAGTGAGGGTGGTCCTCTATTTTTCACTAATCTGATTTAAAGTAGTTAAAGAAAGACCAAAATGCATTCATGTCACAACTAGTGCTAGAACCAAAGTTTTGAGAGCGAGAAACAAGATGGATTGAAACTTATGTACCCCAGCTTTACATACTTCTTAATAATATGACTTTTTAAGGACAATTATTATTATCATTGTATTTGATCAAAGATCAAGAGATGCCTTGTGCCAGGTTATAGCATGAGATGCTAATTTTCACTCGAAGTCCCTGGAAAGGTTCATGTTACACTTAATAAAAGGACAGGAAAATGTACAAATCAGATACATACAAATTTCATACAATTGCAGAGTCACATGAAATGTTTTGGTTTGGAAGAGTGTTCCAAGGGCTTATGGCTTTATAAGAGAATGATTGTTGACATCTACACGCTCCTCTGGAGGTCAACCACTTAGGTTGAACAACTCTCGATCTACGTGGTATTTGATTCTATACTTGTTTATTTTGACTTTGATTATTCACTTTGGTATTGTTATTCACACATAAAATAAATACATGCATTTTATACCACAGAAAATGCATGTCATCCAACCGCAGACAGACAGTGTGACGGTTGCACTCACAGAGAAGCTGAAGCTGCGGATGGTCTCATAGTCGAGCGGCTTGGCCACCCTCATGCGGATGTCGGCTCGCCCCTGCACCGCGGTGGGAGAGATGGTGAAGTACTCTGAATTGTTCCCTGTCAGAAACACCTGGAACATGCTGTTCACCCCCTGCACAAAGAGAGAAACAGCACACTGCTTTTGGAGGATATTATTACAATTATAGTGGCACACGCAGAGATGATGCACAACCCATGGCAATCTACCAATTAAAAGATTATCAGGTTCAATAGATTTTAATTATCCATCCATCCATTTTCTACCCTTTAATCCATTTCTGGGTCAGGGGGGTGGCAGTCAGAGATGCCACCCAAGTCTCATAGCACCAGCCCCTCATTGACCCTCTGCAGGTGGTGAGTCCACAGGAGGACGGCTGCTCTCTGAGTGTGAGCATAGCCTTGATCTTTCAGTGGGGGCTTTGGGCAAAGTGGGGTTAAGTGTCTTGCCCAAGGACACAACGACAGCAGTCATCAGTGGGAGTCGATGGAGAAGGTGCAGAGGTGGGAATTGAACCCACGACCTTCTGGCCTTAAGGCCAATGCTCTACCAACTGAGCTACTGTCGCCCCACTAGATTTTAATTATATACATTCCAATTGAGTTATTTTGTACTGCAATACAAAACAATAACATACTATCCTTTTCCTCTTCTCTATGTGTACTGCATTTTCTAGATGACAAAAAGTGATTTTATTTATATGTTTGCATTGTCGGAGCCTGAGGTGAAACGCCAATGGCAATGTGCTTGATAGTTTTCAATTTTACTGTGAAATGCCTGCAAACATGAAGGAATTTATATACTCTACGTGTGTTTAAATATGTAAAATGTAATGTCAGGAGATTACATTCAGTTTGAGTCACAGTGTTAGGATAGGAGGCTGGAGCTTCATGGCGTGTGCACTGTGCTCCATTCATTCCTTATCTGCTGTGTCTACAATGTGTTTTTCATATCAGACCATCTCCCTGCACCACTTCCACTGCCTGCTCCCTGTACAGTATTCACCTTAATAAAGCTCTGGAAAAATGACCTTATCATATTATCACATGTATTGTACAGTGATCTTTGACTTTTACAGCATATATAGACTATAATCCACTTCCCATGCATTTTTAACATTAGAATTAGATCCAACAGGTGCATGACGATCAGTGGGTTTAAAGATGCACTATACTTGTCTGTCAGAAGAATTTTGCTTTGAATGTTCCATAGCACAACACTGCATGTATCTGTTATTTACTGAGTTTTTAAGTTAACACATGGGGATGAGCTTTTCCGCTATAATCTGAAATAATTACACTGTTTCTATAGATGTTTTTGAATGTTCACTATCCTTAACAAATCCTTAAAATAATTCAATACATAAAATAAGTGAATGTGAATGAGAGGCTTTCATGCTTGTTTCCATGGAGATATCATTGTTTTAAGTCATATTTAGGTACATCCCAAAGCCAAGCATTTTTATCTTGTTGTGGTGTTTCTTAACATTTCTCTAAACTTAACCCAAAATAGAGCTATTACATAACAATATTTAGATTAACCTAAGCAAAAAGCTGAACCTCAACCAGAAAAGTTCCTCAGAGCATTAGTCTGTGGCACATCACAGCGTATTGGACTAGTATTATTGGCCATAAGCCACTCAAGACAGAGGAACACATGCTTTGTTTTCAGTTTTGGAGACGAGGGATGATTTGATCTTTGGTGACAGCCGTGACTATCTCCTCAATACAGATGTGAGGTCTTGGGGATTTATTTACTTTAATGTGTGAGAAAACATGTCATGTTTGTCATCAGGACATTTTGGGTGGGTCTAGACATCTGTAAAGCTGACTGCCATTGTCACCATTGCCAACTTATGATAAATGCCCACACAATTGTATAAGAAAGAAGTGTGATGAGCACTAACATTTAGGTTACTTTAAGTTGTAAAGCTTCATTTTTACCTCCATTTTACAGAACATACACATCTGTTTCTAAGCCTACACCATTAAACAATTAGAATTAAACACTAAAAAGAAAATTCCTAAAGATACAGTTGTGCTTGAATGTTTACTCACCCAGACAGTAATGCCATTATTTTGGTCTGTACTGATACTTAACTATGACATACTTATTTTCGCTCATAAGTAATTGGCATTAACTACCACTGGGGGATGTGAAAATCAGGGTAATTTGAGTAGTTTCTGTACTTTTACAATTTGAAAAATCAAATAAAATTTTATTATACAATAAATGGTTTCACACATCCACTCGGGCCTCATTTATGAAAATTGCGTACGGCCAAATCAGGGTGTAAATGAGGCATACGCCAAAAAATTACACTTTTCGGCATTTACCAATCTGTGTACGCTCATCTCAACCTTCATTACAACACGCCAAAACATGCATGAAATGCAAGATTTGGACAACAATATACATAATCCCAGTCTGTCAAAAATATAAGCTGCGTTTTCATTGAACATCATGTTTCTAAATTTGAAATTGCGCATCGGAAAAACCCTAACACTCTGGAAACACGCAAATTTGGGATAAATCACTGTTCATGATGAGGACCCTCTTCTGTTTCTTAGTTTTTAAATCTGTCTTGTGTGTGTATTATTTTCATCTTTTAGTGTGAAGCGCTTTGTGAGAAGGCGCTATATACAATTACACCTGGCTTACTTACTTAGTTAATGTGTGACCTTCTATTTCTCCGTGAATCTGTGGCAGACCCTGCGTAATTACGCATGGCTATTTTTTTTGTCTCATTCACTCAAACAACGTATTTCTTCACTAGTTTTGTGCATAAAGCCCCATAAAGGCAGCAATGGCAGAGATATGGCAAATGTGGTGCGTTTTGGAGTTTTTCCGTGATATCATGGGCTCATACGCATCCTTTCTCTCTCACAGAGATCGCTACCTTGCATTCACAAGAAAATGTCGCTGACGCTTGACCCAGATGAGAGTCACCGCTGAGATTAATATTCATTCATTCATTCATTCACTCATTTCTAAAGAGATGAGCGCTGCAGTGGGTCTAGACACTAGGGAAAAACATTTATCAACAGCCGTGTATGCGTACGCTCAGATCTGTGCGTATCTCACATGTTCATCAATTCCGCGTTGAGTCTGACGTAGATGGAATATACACCAAAAATAAACACCCTTTTCTGCGCAAATTTCATAAATGAGGGCCAATGAGTGAAAAAAAAAAATCCTACAATTTCTGCCTGGGTGTGTATGCTTTCAAGCACAACTGTAGATATAATTAGGTAAAGTACGTGTTGTATACATTAACAGAGATAATATCCATATTATGAGAGATCCAAACAAGCAAAGTATACATAAGGATGTTCGTTCCTGCATTTCTGTTGTATGGTTGGGAACGTGAACAATGATCATTTTAACATCATATCTCAGAACATTTTTGATGGATTGTAAACATAACTAATCCTCACAATGATACAGAACATATTGACACATTTATTTTGGTCAAAGCCATTATCTACCCTTAAGCAAAGAAAAGCTCTTCAATTGAAATCTGTGGCTTAAGGCTCTTACTTTCCCATGTGCGCGGGGACAGGCGCAGGGAGATGGACGCGACGGTCGATTGGCATTATGCTGCCGGTCCAAATAGCCCCTTGTTTTTGTTTTCATCTGTGGGAAAACCATTGCGTCTGATGACTCCTATTTAAAAGACCATCCAATATGCAGGGATGTCACCTCAAACTGCCGATAAACGTAATTGCTCGTCCATTTGCCACTGCCTTTAGAAGCCCCCAATAAAAGCACCCTGTCACATGCAGCTGCCACAAAAGTTTAGTGACAAGTTCCTCCGGCAAAAAGTTTTATAGATGCTCGCGGTGCTGAAGCAAATATGAGAGAAGTGACAAGAGAGAGAGGGAGAGGTAACAACCACTTGTGTCATATTGTAAAAAATGAAATGTCTGCCTATAATCCCTTACACTTGGAGAGGCGAGATTACGGCACGAGTGAAGCAGAGTGTGAATGATTGTGTATATCAGCCCTGACATGCAGGTTTAAGGGATCAAAACAAGCGGTACAACAGGGGCAGAACAAAAAGGGATCATATTTTATTTCTGAAAACAAATGTATTCCACTGGTGACAGAGCAAGTCATATTAGAAGGGTTTGGAAATGTCACGCTTTATTGTTCTGCTTACAATGGATTGGATAAAAACTACCACTACGTCTACAAGGGCTAATTCTACTACTGCTAGTGATGTCACGTTTCTTTCTGATGAAGCTTAACTTCCAAACCACAAAATGAATGACGAAACACAAATCAAAATGGTTTGGTTGTATCACGCACATGTATTTTTAGCCTCTGTTTTATTTATTTAAACAGGCATCTGCTCCTCGGGGTAACAGAAGAAGACATGTTGCTAAGACGGTTACTAAGGTGGTTCCCCCCACAGATGATGCCATCTGATTGGTCAATCCTCATATGGCTCCTACCTGGATTTACAAAGAATTAATCAAAATATAAACACCGGGATCATAGAGCGCTAAAACCACTGATTTATTTAAGCCCAAAGTGGTGAGACTAACACAAAATCTACTATGTCCTTTGGAACGAAACACAATTACATGTATTATTTATGAATAAAGTTAGGTACCCCAGCTTTCTAAAACGGTTAAGCAGTGGTCAAAATGCTGTCCTATATGTGATTTTTTAATTAAACAATGTAGTATAGTCTGTTTATACTACATGAGATGTTTATTTTCAGATTTTTTTTAGAAGTCAGTATAAAAGTTTGAAAGTCATACTATTATTACTACTGTACTACAAGCAATTTATTTCGTCCTTGCAGAGTATAAAATGTTATACCAGCAGTTTGTTATAAGCAATACAACATACAGTACAGGTGAAACTCAGAAAATTGGAATACCGTTCAAAAGTAAATATATTTCTGTAATTCAACTTAAACTGTTAAACCAATAAATTATATAGACTCATCACATGCAAACTGACATATGCCATGGCATTTTTTCATTATGCCTTATACTCCGTGTTCAAAATATTGTAATTGTCTGAGATAATTTGGGGGTGTTTTACAAGCTGGAGGGCCAATATTGTAAGTAATAAAAGCTTATACAGTGTATAGGCTGATATATCTCACGTTGCATGTGATGAGTTAGTCAGTTTCACATCGTAAGTTCAATAACCAAAGTAAATGAACTTTTGAATGATAATCAGCTTTTCTCTTGAAGTGATCCGACTACTTCTACTACTATTCCTACTGAGAGGCAAAGTAAAACATATAGTCACATTATTACAGTAGATTCAGCACGAGAAGTGTATATAAGGTATTAAGAGTGCCTGTGTCCTCTAGCTGAAAGGCAGATGTTGCCATATAAGGGTCATCAGATAATACACAGCAGTCAACATGTCTTTCCAGATTGAAGTTGTGAACCTACACAGCTCTATGCTTTTTTTTACTCATCTCAAACTAAAAACAGCTGCCCTCCACTGTCCTAAGTGGTCCCGTTATCAGCTCAGCTCTCTCTTCTTTGGCTTCTGCGCTGGACTTTCTGCTCCACCAATTACACAAGACGGATGCTTTTACTCCGTAGACAAATCCTTCCCCATTTTATTCTGGTGGAACTGTGCTCTCCACTGCTTTGCCGGTGCTCTACCTTTTCTCTATGCACTCCTCTCACGGTTATCTGTCAAATTCACCCTGGCCGCCGCTGTGCCTGAATCAATCCGAGTTGACTAGCTTTCGGCTTATCTGCACCCCGGGTGATTGATTTTCCTCGTTAGGTATAATTTGATGCTCTATCCCATCTCTTCCAGAGCAAATTAAATTGTAGTTGAGTCCATGTGTGAGTGTGACTGTGTGTGGGGACTGAAGTGCATGTTACATTTGCAGCGTTGTGTGTCTCTATGGGAGAGGGACGAGGCTAATGGGAAGTGGCGGACATGCTAAAGCTCACTATGGCGTATATATTTATCAATCCAGGTGCTAAACTGCAGCTGAAAAGTGAAATAACAGGTGCCATTTTTAGTGGTTTAGTTCTATAGGACATGTGCATGAAAAATCAGTTTGCTCCATTGTTAAGGGCTGATAATTACTTTTGATAAAGATCAGATTGGAATAGATAGAACTGTATTAATCCTCTAAGAAAGTCTTGTGCCAGAGAGCGCCATAGAAATCACTTGAACGTATAAATACAGTGGAAACTCGGAAAAATCAGAATATCGTTCATCAGTCCGTTCTCTGCTGTAATTGCACATACATTGTAGAACTAAAATATGACATACTCATTACAGGCAAAGTGAGAGACATCAAGCCTTTATTTGTTTGGATGTTAATAATTGGCTCACAGCTTGTGAAAATGGAACAATATCTAAACTCTGAACATTGTAAAGCGCTGGGTGACTTTAGTCTGTAAAACTGTGCTTTATAAATAAAGATTACTTACTTACTTACTGTCTCAGAACTTTTGAATATTTTGACCATAATCATCAACATTATAATAAAGGCTTGGTATATGTCACTTTGTATGTAATGAGTCATCATTACATACAATATTCTACAAGTTTCACTTGAAATTACATTGCTTCTAAAATGGTATCAAACATTTGAATTCAGAAACATCTATGAGAAAAAGTTTTGCCAAAATGTACAAAAATGCATTCAGTCATGACTACTACCTCTCCTTACTAAAGGGGTGGAGTGCAGTTTGAATGCCACAGGGAGGAAAGACTTCCTGTAGCATTCAGTCCTGCTCTGGGCCGGAGCCTCCCGCTGAAGCTGCTCCTGTAGGAGAGCAGCGTGTCCTCTCTGCCACCTCATCGAAAGTCCACACCCAGGACAGACACAGCCTTCTTCACAAACTACAAATATAAACTATACTAGAACTGGTAAATTTATCATGTATTTTTTTTCTAATTTGTTAAGTAAAAGTAAATCGCAGCCTCGATTCATTTTACCCTTCATCCAACCTCCAGCCACTGTTTGGTGCGTGGGCTGCTTCTGTGTCAGACTGGTGGGGATGGTCTGAACAGCGTCCGGTGACAGTGCTCGTAGTGTCCCCTGTACTTCCAGCTTGTGGTTCCTTCATACACATGCTCTATGGGGGTAAAGAACACTTGGACCCGCAGTTTGTCCATGTGTCCTGTGCTGATGAAAGGAGAACTCTGTGTGTCGCATACAGAAGAGAGAAGGAGCTTTTATTAACCATAACTCCATATCTTTTTCACTTACTAACATGTTTGCACCTTTCCAGTATTTTGCACACCCAGAGTGATCTTATGCATGCTAAAGGTAACATGTAAATTTCTCCACTGTGAGATCAATAAAGTTTTATCTCATCTTATCTTAATGAATGTGACTGTACTCTGGGACTGACTCATGGAGACTGATTGATGTTTTGGTTTCATTGTCACCGTGAACCGTGTATCCAAAATTAAATGTCAGTGTTTATAGCTGCACATGGTCCTCTCCTAACAGTTGAACAGTACTGTCTGTAAATCTTGGCATTTTGGCCCGCTGCAAGATAGAGTAGTTCTCGGAGCCAGGACGAAATGCCAAGAATTTAGTGAGGGCTACGATACCCCCCAGGATTTCTGTGTAAGCACGAAAACACTTTTTCAGCTCTAAATCATACCTCTAAAACAACACACGTAGACATCTGATACGTACAGGGTTTTTTACAGAGATGGAAACTCTTCACAAACTGAATTGCAAAGAGAATATAAGCTATTATTAAAATACGCCTCTTTTAGTGTTTAGTGCAGAAATAAAAGCTCCTTCTACTTTAGTGAAGTTTGCATTATCTTAAAATAAAGATGATAAAGTACACCTAGAGAACCCGAAATAGAGAACCTGATTTGAGTCTTTCTGTAATCAAGCAAGCTCATCACAAGTGTTTCTTTGGTTGTAAAAAAAAAATTGTTCACGGGTTACAGTATGAGATTGCATATTAGACCATTCAACAACAACGCTTTTTTTAAATTACATGTTGAGACCGACATAACCATTGGGAGTGCTTAATGAGAAACAGTAAGTGGGTTCAGGTCTGACTCAATTATCAAAGCTGATGTACAAGCTTTCGCTATTAATCAATTGAATACAATAAAATTATGCAATTCCTATTCTAAATTTGCAGGACTAAACGTGAGACTTTTTTAGCATGCGATTTGAAGCTCAGAATGTCATTGGAGTAAATGTTTGTGTTTCGTGTGTCAAATTTGGAAATTAGATTTCAATTTTAATTTTAAGTCAATTCTATAATCTTAGCATATTTCCATTCAATTTGATGCATTCATTTAACTTATCATGTCAACAGCTGTTAATTTGTCCCGACACAATAAAATCCCGACACAATAAAATCCAGTTCCTAATGGGATGGAGAGATTCACAGCCTAACTGCAATCCTTCTATATTTCATGAATACATCATCATTGCCAAAATATTACAGTAAAAACTCACCTCATCTTTGTCTTCTGCTTGAATGAACAGGGGCAAGGCGAATCCCACCTGTGCCAGCTCTGTGATGGTGACCCTGTACTCCGAGCTGTTGAACTTGGGCGCGTTGTCATTTTCGTCAATAAGAAGAACCGTGAAAGTCGTGCGAACTGATGCGTCTGACAGCGTAAGGTCGTCCTTCCTCTCTGTGGCCTGTAGGGGGCATCGCAGAGGGCACACAGACAGACAAAAGACACATAATGCATTTGGATTGCTCTGGAAAAAATGTCATTTCACAGCGCAGCTAGTCACCGGGTAGTCTCCGGCGATGTATTTACCGCTGTCCATTTATTGGATCAAAAGGTGGACAGACTCAAAGCAATCCCAGAACTACGCTCAAATGTGGGGCCAGGAAAGGGCGCGGGCACCTCTCTCCAGACAATGAGATTTAGAAAAAGACACAATTAGATAGTCTTTTCAACTTCTGTGCGAAAGAAGACGTGACGGGAAAACGTTGAGAAGATAGAAATGGGTGTCGCCTTCATTGATAGAAGGTTGTTACTTTGAAGATAGAATAATAGGCCAAATTGTGCACTGAACTCGGTAATAATCAAAGGGCTTTCGCCGCTCTTGTCCCGTCATCACTGAATCATTTGACCTCCACCTTCAAACACGGCATCGCAAAGCCAGCTGAAGTTGAGAAATTAGTTGTATTACTATAGCAAACCACAATCAATAGCGCAGCAGCATCTAGGAAAGCATAAGCAGCGGAGAAGGGACACGCAACGCACAAGAAAATCTATATCTTATAAATACATTTTGGGTGCCATTTTTAGTTTTTCAGTACTTGCACTTATTCAACTTTTCTGCTTCGCAATTATTGATTTAAATTATAATGAGGTCAGAATATGTTATCAGTTTGCGGTAAACAAAGTCAGACTTTCATAACATGGGACTTTCTTCTAAGAGCTGCAATTATGGTGCACATTTTCAAAGGATTATAACAAAACAATGGCATTCAAAATAACCTAAAACAAACAAAGGACATAGATTTGTGAAAAAAATAATTAAAAACACAACACATGATTTTTTTCAGGGTATTTATTGAGGGTTAGGTGGGTGCAATAGTGTTTTGCACACTTCAACAATGGAGCAATTTGATGTATTCAAGGTTTAACATTTGTATTAGTGTTTTTCGTTTTTAATATGGACAAATAAACAGCCATTGCTAATATGTCTAAACTTTTGGAGCCAGTACTTCATATACTTGACATGCCATAGCATCAAAATCCACACTATACCCCACTGGCCTTACACTGAAAAACTGACTCTTTGATCGCAAATCTTTCCACTTTGAGTAGCTCTTAGAAATCCATTTCACGCACCCTCTCACACCCTGTGGGGACCACCGTGTGTACAATAGTTTTGGAAAAAAATGGTGAAGAGAAATACAGTGGCTGAGTGGACAGAGGTTTTGTGATGGCGCTGAGAGCAGGACTGACATGCTAAAAAGCAGTGGGACAGACATGGACCAGAGGAGAGCCTGATGCACTACGCAGAGAACAGTAAATCCTCCTTTTATCTGTTCCCGTGGACTCTGACTCTGACAGATCTGTGATGGTCCTACCGCCAGGACACGGACTTATAGACAAGCTCTATTAAAACGGCCCTTTTACTACCAGGTTTGTTCTACAATGATTTCAATGTGTCCTGAAACTCTGCGGTAACCAGAAAAATGTGGCTATGAATTATAATGGTGCTGAGGAGAGAATAGCCTTATTTAGTTCTAGAGGTTTAAAATATTGGATCAAGATGAACTGTGCATCTGTGTAATCAATTCTTGAGTGTTCATTCACTGCCAACTGTACATACCAATAAAAGTTGTTCAGAAAGGTTTTGAATGTATTGTCAACTATATCTGTGCATAAATGATTCATTATCTTTACTTTATTACACCTAAGTATCTAAATTGAAGTTGATATAACTTAAGTAATTCAGATTTTGAAAACAATACATTGTCTTATTAGCAGAATTATAGGAGCACTAATATATGCGTGATCGTGAGCTTGGATGCAAAAGAAAAAGAAAAAGCATCTTGATTATTACCTAATGTTTGTTTCCAATACAGAACGTGCCAGTTTTGAATCTGTGAAGACCATGTGTAGGCATCGTCTCACTACTTTTAGTCACTTCTTCAAATGCAGACGGAGAAGCAAAAATGTCTATGCAAATGTGAATTCTGTCTGGGTCCATCCAACTGGTAAACTCAGGCGGGAAAGACAAGTGGCTATGGGGTTGGAATGTTGGATGGATATATTATACATGCATGTTCAGACATTGTCTTTATTAGGGATGTAAAAAACTATGAATTTTCATGACCGACCACCGAGCCTCATTAACCGGTTGAAACCGGTTAACCGCGTAGTTTAAAATAGTCCACGTTCTTTGAAATAACAGCCATTTCGAGCCGCGTACTTTTCATAAGTGCAGCTCTGCGTTCTACTGGATCAGAGCCGAGACAGCGGCGCCCAAACCCGCAACAGCTCCGGCACCTTTGCGCACAGAGAACTCCTTTTTTAATCTTCCCATTCTGCTGTGCTGCGGGTTAATACCAAAACTTTCTAGCAGCAAACGACGGCTCGTTCACATGGTCAGAGCAGCGAGTGACGAGCCGCGTCTCACAGGTCTTCACAAAAGTTTAAATACAAGTGATGTGTGTGGGGCTGATCCCGAGGACCATAAACACAAACATGTTTCCCCTACAGCAAAACATGTAGGGGAAATACGCGACTCCCAAAAGGAGCCGCGTATTTGCGCGAATCCTTTGGGCTCCGTGACACAGAGGAGCGCGACAGACCGGTATGTGTGTGTGTATGTATGTGTGTGTGTATGTGTGTGTGTATGTATATGTGTGTGTGTGTAAATGTAAGCTCCAATGTAGTTCTGACCCGCGCCAGTGTGCAACTTTGACGGTAAAAGAGGGGAGAGATGATGCGTGTGGATGTTACGCATGGAGAGGGGGAAAGTGTGTGTGTGTGTGTGCGCGCGCGTGCGTGTGTGCATATGTGGCTCGTGCGGCGTGAGAGTCGTCCCGGAGTTTATAATACATGGGCGCATACAGCTAGATACAGACCCGCTCGTCACACCGTGCAAATAGGGCTTAAAATAGCGTTATTAAGAGACCTCCCCTCTCCCCTTTTTCTCTTTTTTAACCGACAGCTTTGACCGGTTAACGCTGTGACGGTCAACCACCGGTTAACCGGTCGCCGATTTACATCCCTAGTCTTTATTATTATTATTATTAATATTGAATTGTATTCTCATGATCTGAGAACCAATCCGGACTCTGAGGAGCACAGGGACTGGACTCCTGTTAGTGCCCAGAGTCAGAACTAAACATGGGGAGGCTGCTTTTCAGATTCATGCTGCTAAAATCTGGAACAGTCTTCCTGAAGATGTGAGACAGGCCTCCTCTCTGACAATGTTTAAAACCAGGTTAAAGACAGTTCTGTTTAGCTGTGCATACAACTGAGGGATTTTATATTTGTATCTTTCTTTTTAATGTTCTGTGATTATTTATGATTTTAATGCTTTCTTATTTTGTTCAGCACTTTGAGTTGCCTTGTGTACAAATTGTGCTATATAAATAAACTTGCCTTGCCTTGCCATCTGTTATTTGACTTGTATCATGCTGCAGTTTGTGCGTTTAATCTGTGTCCGGACCAAGTGAACGGGAAAAAAGTAAAAATGTATGCATGTAATGTCATGCATGCTTCGATCCAGTTCCGCCAAATAGCCTGTATTTCTTCACCTCAATCACAGTAACAGCTTGCTCAATCAAATTAAATTGTCCGGTTTTCACTTGTGCTTTGTAAACATATTCAATGCTATCTGTTTCTCAGAGTTGTCGCTTCTTTCTTTGTGTGTCCTGCAGTGTACAGATCCTCACCTCCACTGTTAGAGTGAATCCGGCTGAATACAGAGGGTTCTCTCTGTCCATCTGTCCGTCCACGGTCAGGGCCCCGCTGAGGAAGTCCAGGGCAAAAACATGGTTGGTGTTCCCTGCATGGGTGGGAAAGAGACAGTGAGGGAAGACACAAACGTCAAAGGGACAAGCAAAAGTGGCATTGTGGATAATTCAACATATACGCCAAGGGATGCAGAGTGGAGAAAGGCTTGAGTCGGCGGTGTGAGAAATGCCTGGATTTCATGAAATATTGATAAAGTTTTGGATGCAGTCTCCAGTCTTGCTGCACACCTGCCCTGGGCTCACCCACCACATCAGACCTCCACAATTCTATGTTTCATCTTACACTGACGACCCCTCCTTCCAGACAGAAGCTCACACAATGTTTTTATCAATGTTTTTGCTGCATTTGCAAAGTTATCATTGGTTCAAACACTGAAATTGCTGTATAGTGAGATATTTAAAGTTGAAAAAGTAGGAATGCTATCGATTATAGGTTGCAATTTGACGTAAATGGGGTACTCCAGATTTCATTTTCAAACTACGAAAAAAATATAGTTTGCCAAATGTTCTAAAACAGTTTGGTGCCTCAATATTTTCCTCAATTCTTTCAGACAGAAAAGTGAAAAATGTAGAACTTCAATCAGCTCTCCTTCCAAAGTATCCAATAAGTAACTCACATGGCTCTTTCTTACAAGTATGTAAAATAAAACTTCTAGTGATGATTTTTTCAACATTTTACTTATACGAGGCTATCTTGTAAAATTGATTGATTTTCTAAACTCTTGGCAAATCAATAATTCTGTGACACTTTTCGACTGCCAAAAAATATATATATACTTTATAGATCAAAATTACTTTCTACTCTGAAACTTTCTGTTGAGACAAACAGCATGTATTATTTATGGGAAACGTTGGGTATCCCACATTTAAGCCTTTAAAGCTAGAAACCAAAGCCAAAGTGAGAATACCTCAAACGAATTTTCATGAAATGTGTAACTTAAGATGCTCATACTGTATTTAAGTAAGTAAGTAGTAATCTTTATTTATATAGCGCCTTTCAAAAACCAGAGTCACAAAAGGCTTTACATTTCTTGTGGGCATTTGTCTCTCACTCCACACAGAGATGGGAGCGGGGTCGTCATACAGGAGAAGCATTCCAGAGCTATTGTACTTATTTTTAGTGGTAGGAGAAACTGGTGCCCCCCAAGGACACCTACGCAGACACGGGGAGAACACGCAAACTCCACACAGAAAGGTCTGAAGGTATAATCAAACCCAGGACCTTCTTGCTGTGAGCGCTAACCGCACAAGCGCTAACCACTGCCGTTATTATAGAAGTTAACCACTGCCCAGGTTAACTTCTATAATAACATTCTGCCCTTTTTTTTTTTTTTTTTTCAAGAATACTTTGTGGGACAGGCTACTTAGAATGTAAAGCCAGGAACCTCCAGGATAAAGGTTGATGAATTGCATGGCAAACAGTGGCAGTCCAAACCAGTCAATAAGACATCGACTCACATGCCATGATATATCTGTATGGTTAGTTGTCTGGGATAATGATCAAGTAATAGATAGTGTCTTAAATTAGGAATTATAGACCTTTATCATTAGAAGTACAGTGATTATATGTACCAAAGTGAAGTGTCATTACAAAATACAATATATTCCATCATTTCTATTGGGACTTTCCTGCCCATTACATTTCCACTGTGATTGTAGGCTAAAGCTTTATTGAAATAAAGAAAGTACCAGTTCTCTACAAAAGAAAATTGGCTATAATATTACACAAACCAATATTCTACTTGACTTGAGCAATATATTAAATGAAACCAGGGGCGTGAATCTTAGTGTCTTTATCATAAATAGTTTTTTAATAACACCTGGGATAGCTAAGCGGACTCTTTGTATGCACTGGTGAATCCCATTAACTTTACTACAGTCAATGGTCTCGTTCAAAGACGTGCGTTTCGAATTATAGCAGTGCACTACGCTCATTAGCAGGTTCAAAAGCCTTGTGTTTCATATTCACTTCAATTACACAAGTTAAAATATCAGACCAGACACTTAAGTCTTCTGCTCATACTTAATCCTACTATTTATGTTTGAATATCCTTCCTCTGGTAATGAATTATGATTTTTTATTTTCCTCTAGGTGCTGGTAGGGCTGGGCGATTTGGCACAAAAGTAAAATCTCGATTTTGGACGATTTAGATTTTAAATTGATTTTCATTAAAGTCACTGAAGACAGACTTTGCCCTTAAACATATGTTTTGATCTTTCCGCTCAATATTTAAGTTTAAAATATGTTTTAATTTGTTTCCCCCAAAACGTATTATAAAAGTCTTGTAGAGACTGTGCTGATATTGCAAGTATAATTGATGTGCTGCTGGAACTCTCACAATAGCCTTCATTCGATTTCACGATTTTCATATTTTTCACAAATTAGATTTTTTCAAAAGCCGATTAATTGCCTAAATTCTATTTATTGCCCAGCCCTAGGTGCTGGCTTCTTAATGACGCTTGAATAAAAGACAACAACAAAAAATGACAGTCTGGAAAAGTCCAATTTACAATTATTTTAGCCATAAGACAGGATCATTTCTCCTTATTGCATGTTTAAAGCACTATGGCACAACGTCCACTGCATGTTCCCAGTGTCCCAGAGAAAGTCCAACAACATGATGAGACAGACTTTAGAAAATCTGCTGTTCTTTGCTACAGCCATGTTTCCGGACCTCTGCAGAGACACCTACACTCCAAAACAGTTCATACAGTACATGTGAATATTATTTGTTTTTAATATTTACTATTTGTGCAGGACTAAATGACGCCACTCCCAGTCCGGTTCAGCTCAGGACATACTTTCAATATACACACGCCTCAACCACCGTCAAACGCCTGCAACCACCGTCACACATAAAGGAACTGGAATCTCTGTAAACTGTAAAATAGTGAACTCACATGTTCACATGGGAATATTAATACCAGATTTAGGCTATAATCAAAATTCCACCAACAAACAACTTCACAGATTTTGAATATATATCCCCTTTATGGTCTCATCACATTTGTCTATTACAGAAATCTATGAAGTCTAAATCTTCACTAAATACAGAAACAGGACAGTTTTGGTCTACTTGTTATTATCAACTAGACAACTTACTGACAACTTACTGACAACAGGCACTCAAACAGTTAACGTCTTTATGAGCAGGGGGAAGGGCCATGTCTCCTGCTGTAGGCTTAGTATAGAGAAGTTTGTGTGAAAGTGAAACTAACACAGTCACTCCCATCGCACGGAGACATGGCACAGACAGCTCTAAACCAGGAAACTATATCTTGTTCGATCTGCTTGGATCTGCTGAAGGATCCAGTGACTCTCCCCTGTGGACACAGCTACTGCATGGACTGCATCCAAACAAACTGGAATCAAGGGCAAATTTACAGCTGTCCTCAATGCAGACAGAGCTTTGTCCCCAGGCCTGTTCTCGTCAAGAGCACAGTGTTGGCTAATCTAGTGGAGGAGCTGAAGAGGGCGGGGCTGACAAGGTTTCCTGCAGAACACTGCTATGCCGGCCCAGGAGACGTGAGCTGTGATTTCTGTACTGGGAGGAAGCTTAAAGCTGTCAATTCCTGTCTGCAGTGCCTGGTCTCTTACTGTGAGACCCACCTCCAGCCTCATCGTGATGTGGCAATACTACAGAAACACCAGCTGGTGGCGCCCTCAGACAAACTTCAGGAAAACCTCTGCTCTGAGCATAACGAGATGAAGAAATTGTTCTGTCGTACGGATCAGAAGATTGTCTGCTCACTCTGTTGTGTAGACCAACACAAAGGTCATGATGTAGTGTCTTCTGCTGCAGAGAGGGCTCAGAGGCAGACACAGCTGCAGGACAAGAAGACCCTGCTGCTTCAGAGTATCCAGGAGAAAGAGACAAATATGAAGGAGCTCCAGCAGGAAGCTCTGGTCATCACTGACTCTGCCATGAGAGCACAGCAGCAAAGTGGGGACATGTTCTCTCAAATGATCCTTCTCCTGGAGGAGAGACGCTCAGAAGTGGAGCAGCAGATTCAGTCTGAGCAGGAGATCAAACTGACTCAGGTTCAAGAACTTAAGGATCAACTGCAGCAGGACATCTCTGATCTAAAGAAGAACATTTGTGAGCTAGACACACTGTTCCTCACTCCAGATCATAACCAGTTTATACAGCTCTGTACTCCACTCTCCACTGGCACAGACGAGACAGAGTCCAGGGTCAGGATCCAGGATCTTAAGGGTGACTTTCAGGACTTGATCAAAGGTGTGTCAGTGCTCAAAGCTAAACTCCAGCTCACTTTAAAAGAGTTGAATCTAACTGATCCCCAACCATACACCAGGGCAGACTTCATCAGATATGCATGTGACATTACACTGGACCCAAACACGACAAATAAAAAACTGTTTCTGTCTAATGGAAACAGACCAGGGACGTGCAGTCAGGGGAGGCAGGGGAGGCAGAGCCTCACCTGCCATTATTGGAAACTAATAATTATTTTAGTTTAAATATATAATTTATATCCACTGTCCTATGCTTTTAATGTATATTCGGCACGGTTCCCATCAGTTTTGATCATTTCTGAAGTCAAAATCGCCGAAATCCCGTTATTCCTATTCAAAGAGACGAGGTGAGGCAGCGCTCCTGCGTGCCTCACCCCAGACCGCTCCCTCACAGTGTGTGTGTGTGTGTCTGAGTGCACTCAGCTCGTGCAGTTGATATATCACCGTTTGTTTCAAATATCCTGCTTTAAAAACATTTTTTAAACTCCTCTTAGTGTTTAGTAGTGTATTGCACGTATGTGTGTACAATTTATATTTAGTTTAAGTCTTTTGATCGTAGATGAACACACAAGGAAAAAGCTTGGCGTGAGGCAGGCGGTATCTGTGCCTCACCGCTAGGGGTGATAGTGAGCATAAAGTTCATACCAGAGTTGCTAACAAACAATCAGCCCAAAATGCTTTTTCTTTTGCTGGAAAATGGATGATTTGAATGAAGATTTTTTTTCTCAATTGGACTTTCAAACAAAGAAAGAATTAATATAGACTGGGAGACCA